AAGAGAGAGAGAGAGATTTGTTTCCACTGGAGAACAATGGAGGAAGGATGATGGAGAAACTAAAAATACTAAAAACGAGAAATTTTCACGTCCATGGTTTAATAGGGATTTTCAGGTCCATGGTTTAATAGGGATGGTTTAACAGGGAAGAGGTCGCTGTTAGGTTGCAGGTTGGAACCCATGTCAACTGCCCTAAAAACACTAAAACCACGAAAGAAGAAAAGACACCAGATGAGAGAGAAGGCCAAATGCAGGGTTCTAGCCCATAGCTCAAATGGAACTCGCTTTTTGTCTCAACCCTGGGGAGGTTGTGCGTTCAAAACCATGCCTAACCACACAAAACAAAGGGAAAAAAAACAAGTACAAGAGAAGAGAGAGAAAGTGAAAACCAAAAAGGTACCAGTGAGACGAACATGGTGGATTATGCCCGAACTGTAATTTTGCATGCCCTGGAATGGGTAGAGCTGCTCATAAACCAGAGAATAACCAGTGGCCTTATGGGCCAGAGGGTATCTCAGCTGGCCATAACGAACCAAACTCTTCACACTTGAAGGATCCAAGCGCCTCGTGCAATTACCAATGTGAAAATCCCCTGCAATTCATCTTCAACAGGAAATTGAATGGCAAACAAAAAAACCAGAATCGAGAGAAATTTATGAGAGAGAAATTAATCAGAAAAGAAATGAAAGACCAAGCAAGAGATAAGCAGCACCAGGAAGAATGAAAGTAAAGGATTTAAAAACAAGAACAGGGAGAAATTCTTACATCCATAAAGAAATAGAAATAGGACAAGCAGACTGTAATTCACCAAATAAACCAACAAAATTTATGAAAAAAGGAGGAGAAAATGAGAGAGAATTCCATAATTTGATGAGAAAGCGAAACCCAACAAAATTTCGAGATAGTCAACGAGTAAATTTGTAACGAAAGCTATGAAATGGGAACAAAACTGAATACAGAGAATCGGATAAGAAGCTCAAACCTGTGATAAAGGAAACCCAACAAATAAAGTAAAAAAAAAAAGAAGGCAAAGAATGAGAGAAAAATGGATAGAAAATCAAACCTGTGATGTAGGTAACCCAAATTGCATCAGGTGTGGACAAAGAGAGAGAAATCTGTTCAGGTTCCAAAGTTCTGCCAGGTTTTCGGGCACGAGGATCAGAATCGGGCAAATCAATGGCGTGGCCACGAAGAGAGTTATCAAAAGGGACCGTAATGGGGTCAAAAGGCCCATCGAGAGTCGTCGGAATTTTGGCAATGGCGCTTGGAAACACAGAGATTAAGACTAGTGAAAAGCAGAGTAACGCCATGAATCTTTTGCTTTTGAAGAGGTGTTTATTTCTACTTCCTTTCACATTTCAACGCAGTAAAGCCCAGAAGAAGATTTCACGTTTGCTGGTTCATGGCCTATATTTATAGAGAGAGAGGTGTGACGATTTGAATTTGTTGCAGAATCGCGAAGAGGGGGGAGAGAGAATATATGAGAATAAAATTTGTTGGCATGTTCCGCGAGACGTGAAAGTACATCCTCGTACTGAGCACCCTCACTTATTTGTTTCAACCTTGAAGATCAGCCTAAATCCATTTTTATTTTATTTTATTATGAAATTACTTAACTTTTCGTTGTTATTATATGTACCTCCATTTTTATTATATGTATCTCCGTTTTTTAAACTTTGTAACATTTTTTTAAAAAACTATCATACTATCTGTTTTACATAAAACAGAAAACTCGTATTCTACAATCCAATGAACTTCAAGTATTTCTGTTTGAATTAAACAACTCATATGTAAAATGTTTGAGAGAGAGAGAGGGTTTGAATTGAACAAATCCTTCTTTCCAAATCCGGCTAAACCACCAGAAAAACAAACCAGAAATCGAGAGTTTGATCGCTTGCTGCTGAGTTTCAATGAGCATGGCTCGCTACCTTGTTCTGGCGTTGTTCTTGGCGTTGGCCATTTCATCATCTGTTGAGGGTCTACAAGATGCCTTTTTCCTTCTGATTGCACGGGTTAGTGTCAGTACCGATGCTCAGCAACTTCACACAAGCAGCCATGCTTGTTCTTCCGCAACAACTGCTGTGCTGTTTGCTTGTGCATGCCGCCGGGCACCTATCGGAACAAGCAATTCTGCGCTTGCTGGAAGATCCAGGAAGGGCCCCCTAAATGGACTTAATTTTTTTTATAATCTTAATTCTCAATAAATTATGTTTAGAGAGAGATTAATACTTGAAGAATTTCTGTTTGAATTCTACATTTTTTTTTTTTTAATTTATGTTTTAGATACAAAGAGAGAGAGAGTAGAGAGAGATTAACACTTGAAGTATTTCTATTTGAATTCTATATTCGTTTTTAAGAAAATATCTTTATACCCTCTATTTTTAGTTTTTATTTTTCAATAGACCCAAGGTTTCAAAACATATCTTTAAAAATCAAGATCTTATATATTATCTTTTGACCCCCACAACCAACTTTATCCACTTTTACTCTAGTTTTTTAGCCCAAATAACCTTAAATAGACATGCTTTTTAAAGTCATCTTCTCTCTCTTTTCCGGTGATTCTCCCAAATCTTCTCTCTTTCTCTCGCTTCGTTTTTCCAACTGATTCTCTCTCCCCCCGTTGTTTAAGGTTATCAGAGTGGTAAGCTTTCCACCTTAGCAAAGCTGAGGTGGAACCTAACCAATGAGCTTGTTCGATGAGATATCCAACAGAATGAGACTACCATTCATTTCAAATTGTTGAGGAACACTCCCTGTAAAATTGTTCTCTCAATTGATGGCCTTGGAGGTCAAGAAAATCCGCAATAAAACCAGGGATTGAGCTGTATAGCCAATTTTAGAAGAGATTCCATAGAGTCGGGTTCTTTAGCTCCAGAAACTCCACATACAGATGTTCATCAAACGTGTTATTGCTCAGATCCATGGACTTCAAGCTCCTGACATAATCAGACCAGAAAGGCCATTAACCTACAAAAATAGGGTGTCGAGCTTCTACGACTTTCTAAGCTCTGGTGGAATCAAACTAGAGAACACACAGTTCACCATGTCCAACCTCACAAGCTCTGATAATTTCCCGAGCTTGGATAGTATGCCACCTTCATACTTGTTATGATAGCCAAGATAGAGTTGCTAAGCTTTGTCAAGTTTTCGAGCTCACCAGGCATTTTGCCAGTAAACTCATTACCAGAGACTACTAAATACTCTAGAAACCCCCATTTTCCATATTCAGATAGTATTGCACCTGTAGATATGATGGTGCAACCCTAGTGTGAAGGAACACCCAAGTAGATCACACTCCCTTCATGTTTGACTTACGTTACAACATGAAGAAAGGTGGGGAGAGGTTGCACCTTTTCATGAGGGGGTTACCTTCCCATAAATGGCATGCACCATGCACTATACGGGTGCCCATTCGTGAAGAAGTTACTCCCTCATGAATGAAAGGGCCCTTTCTCTTATTATAAAAGGGAGAGAGGTGGAGGTCTCTACACACACCACAACACACATACAAGAAAGGTGTGAGAGGTGTGAGAGCCCTTATTATGAAAGAGAAAGTGTAAGAGAGAGTGAGTAAAATCCTTTTCCCATTCGAGTTCTAAAGAAAGATCCAACTCTGAGAGATAGAGTTGTGTATGAGAGTCGAGTTAGGACTGCTCCTATCGCATTTTGTGAGAGTATTCGTGAGCTTCCACCTCTCTCGGGATTTACAGTGTAGAACAGATTTCAATAGCTCTAGTAGTTGTCGACCGTGCCTACAGAAGTTGATCAATCCTCTCTGCAAACGTTCATCAAAATTGTTCTATGAGCACTCATGTATGATACCCGGTTCCTGGTTGTTTTATTTGGCTTCCACTTCGGTCGCTGGACCGTATTTTTTTTTCAACATTGGTATCAGAGCCATTGTGGAACCGGGTTCCTGATTGTGCTCACATTATCGTTTTTGCCTTCTTGTGAAGCCTTGGCTATGGTTGGCCTATGATGTTGCAAAGTGTACATGATAGTTATTTTAAGACCATAGGCATGTGCATTGTGTAATCTTATGTACCGATCACATAGTCATGTTGGCCTCATACATGGGCTATGCAAGTTGAGGCATCCTAGACCATGAGCATCATGGCTAACTAATCTTGATAGGCCTCATATGCTAAACCGTGTATGATGAGCCCTACTCATTTTTTTGGCATTTTAAGACCACATAAAAATGCATTTTTTTAGTGGGAGTGCAACTAGGAAGGTGCACCGCTTGCAAATTGTGAGGTATTTGAGAAGCTAGATCCAAGAAAGAAACTTAATATTGATTACAAGTAAGGGTCCAATGTGGCCACACGAAATTTTCATATCAAGACTTTTAAGGGTCAAGTTTTTTCTTGCTAAACAATTAACAAGCATAAAAATGATAATCTAAGTGACATCATATATCAAACAAATCATGAGACATCCATAGTAATTGGTGCAATTTTGTTGTTTTGACTTAGAATAACTTCTAAAAATGTGATCGCGGATCTCACTAAAGGTGAAAAGTTGAGTGGTGCCTATTTGTGAACCATGTATAGCTAGAAAATCAACTAGAAAGCCATTTTCTAAAGAAAAAAGAGCAATCGGTCTTCTAGATATAATACATTCTGAAATGTGTGGTCTATTTAATGAGATGGCCTGTAACGATTCTCGTTATTTTATCACATTTATCGATGATTATTCTCGCTACGGGTATATACACATAATCTCGCATAAATCGCAAGTAATAAATTTCTTTCACCATTTTATGCTAGAGGTTGAAAATCAGTTCGATAAAAGAATAAGGTTCTTCGTACTGATCGAGGACGAGAATACTTATCTAATCAATTTAAGAAGCTTTGTGAGAATAACAGAATCCGAAGACAAGAGACGATGTCCTACACTTCACAACAAAATGATGTTGCAGAAAGAATGAATCGTACTCTGTTGGACATGGTGAGGTTTATGAGGGCTCATCCAACCTCCTAATATCATTTTGAGGAGATGCTCTTATTACTGCGATGTATGTCCTAAACAGAGTGCCATCAAAATCTATTCCCAAGACCCCTTATGAGTTATAGACAGGTAGAAAGTCAGATCTTTCTCATTTACGTCCTTGGGGGTCAGCTGCATATGTTCACATCCCTTCTCAATTGATAGGGAAACTAGACAGGCGATCTCTTGAGCACATTTTTGTCAGATATTCTGAGCGTTCGAAGGGATATGTGTTCTGTCAAGAATGTCATGGTAGCGGGATGAAGGAAATAGAATATCGAGATGTGGATTCTATAGAGACTTCCCTAACAGGAAGTGATCTCGTATGTCTGATGAGCTCTATGAAGAGCTTGAATCTCAGACAGACATTGAGATAATTCTTTCACTTGAAGATAAAAGTGGGAGTTTTCTCATGATTGTTAATGATAGTGGGAGTAAACTATTAGTTGAGAATGAGCATATGACCCATATTGAGTTACCGACTATGCTAGAGACACCTATTAAGAGTGAATCGCAGGTTGAATTCCGAAGGAGTCAACGTGGGAAAGTTCCTCGTAGACACTTCAAAGTAGAGGGTCTCACATGCATTCACTTGATGTTGATGAGCCTAGCTCATTCCAAGTGCCCTTGAATTCTCCTGCTATGAACCAGTGGATGTCTGCCATGAAAGATAAGCTTAATTATATAGAGCAAAATCAAATATGGGAACTTGTGGATTTGTCGCCTGATACAAGATCAATTGGAAATAAGTGGGTCTTGAAAATCAATAGGAAGGCAGATGGAACTATTGATAAGTATAAAGCCCACTTAGTGGCTAAATAGTTCACCCAAATTGAGAGAGTGGACTACGATGAGACACTCTCCCCAGTGGTAGAATGACCTTGATTCGCCTAATCCTAGCAATCGTCACACATATGAACCTGGAACTCTTCTAAATAAATGTGAAAACTGCTTTTCTAAATGGTGACTTGATGGAAGAGATCTATATGGAGCAACCTAAAGGTTTTGTAGCCTCTGGCCTTGAGCACAAAGTGTGCAAGCTCAAGAAATCCATATATGGTCTCAAACAATCATCAAGACAGTGGTATATAAAATTTCATAGGGCTATAATGGCTTATAGTTTTGAAATGCTTCAAGAAGACCATTCTATATACATTAAGAAGTATAACCAAAGAATATACTATAAAAAGAGCATGCAACCAACTGCTAATGGTCTTATGGTACACATTCCCATTAAATATTATATTTAGAGAAATGATCCTATAGGATGTTCCTTCACCTATATGTGTAGGACCCTAAATAATCATCATTAAATTTGGCACAGATCTCTAAAAAATATAAGTCTCATACCATGTGACAACTTTTCCAAAGATTGGTGTCAAATTTAATGGTATTCCTTTGAGGTCCTACACACATGGGTGGAGGAGGGTTCTATAGGATCATTACTCATTATATTTATTTCATATAAATATAATTTTTTTAATTTTATAGAAGGAAAAAGTTTATATAAGGTTGCATCCTTAAAATGTAGAAATACGGATGCACGTCCAAAATTCATCGGAGAAGATTGTTTTGATGTTGAAAAATCTGATCATCTTGATATATAGATGTATGAATATGCCAAAAAAAATATTTTGAGTCCCCGATGTATGAATATGACAAAAAAAAGATTTGAGTCCCCGAAATAGTGTATCTTATAACACATTATCTAGACAATCTATTTTCAAGATTTTCATATGTTTGTAGATCTACTTTATTTTAATTATTTTTGGAG